GACAAAGAGGAGAACTTCAGATTTCTGGGGAGAAATTAAGGGGGAAAAATATCCTGCTTCCAAAAAAGGGAATTGTTTTGCTTGTGATGTTTTCCTTCTGTGTGTCCCCTTTCACTTCTGTGTGTGAGGAAGAGGGACGATGGCTCTCCATTTGATTTTTAAAGGAAGACTAGAGAAATCAGAACAGGACCTGCCTTGTTTCTGTGAAGCAGGTGTTCTTGCTGAGCCTGTGAACTGAGAGAGAGACAGAGAGAGAGGAAAGGTTAAGGAAAGAAAGTATTAACTTTGAATCAAAGAGTGTGAAATACATTCTTGATGTCCTAATGAGGATGCAAAACTGAATTATGTCCAGCTAACTAGCATACTACACTAAATTTGGCGAGAGCATGGGAGGGTAATTGTTGAAGAAAAGTCCAATTCAACAGAAGAGCTGGGGGTTGGAGCTGGCAAAGGAATTTGGGGGGCTCGTTCTAAGTCGTGTTATGGGGGAATATGGAGAGGAGAATACATAGTCAGAAAGGGAGAGAAGCGCTTCAATTTAGTTTCCTTGAATGGAGAGCAACATCAAAGATTATTTTGTAAAAAACTAGAAAAAAGAATAAAAGAATGCAGAGGTTTATTGAGTGCCAAAGTAATAAAAACTAAAAAGCATCAGGGAACCAGATGTTCTGAATGAATGAGGAAAAAGTTTGACCTTCTCCATACTGTAGGTATCTGTTTGCTGAGCTACAAAACATGTCAGAGAGCCGTGGTCCCAGAAGGTCCCCAGCTCTCCTGTTGGATAAAATATCCAAGTGAACCAGTGAAAGCCTACAACTGTTGCTGGCCAACTGCTGAGTTATTGACTCCTGAGCTTCTTAAGACAGAGGCCCCCTCAACTTGTCCCAGGTGACAAGACACTGGATGTTGAGACTCTTGTAAAATAGGAGAATAGAGTAGTTGAACAAACGGCTATTAATCTCAGTGGACAGAAAGTTAAAATTTCCAAGATCTCTAAAGGAGAAGGAAAGGGGGTAGAGTTGGGAGAGAAGAAAACAACTTGCAAAAAGAAAAGCTTGACTGCTTTCTTCTCTTAGGGAGGCCCAAGCCATGTAAAAAAAATTTAATGAGGTATAACATTAAAAAGTCCACAAGTGTACAGTTTGATGAATTCCTGCCTATATATGTGTCCATGCAATCACTACCCACATCATTTCTAGGGCCCCAGGAAGCACGCCCTGCCCTTCTCTGTCAAAACCCCCACCCTCCATAGATAACAACTACTCTGACTTCCATCATCAAAGATTAATGTTACTTGTTCTTGAATTTCATAAATATAGAATCTGAGTATACACTCTTTTGTGTCTGCTTTCTTTCACTTATCATTATGTCTGTGAGATTCGTCCAGGTAGTTGCATGCTTATTTTTCAATGCCGTGTAGTATTCCATTGCATGACTATATGACATTCATCTATTCTCCTGTTGATGCATATTTGAGCTGTTTCCATTTTTTTTGTCTATTATGAATAAAAACCTGCTATGAACGTTCTTGTCAACTTCTTTTGGTGGACACATGCAATCATGCATCCTTCGTATGCAGCAAATAGTATAAATCACTTAATTTGCTTTTGGCTACTACATGGGAGAAAATCTCATGAAGAAGATTCTGAAGCCTACTTTCTTTCTGAAATAACTGAAGAAGGGGATAATGTCAAAGGTTATCACTACTGAGCACCAACTAAATGCCTAAAATGTGTCAGATCCTTTACATGCACAATCTCGTTTCCTCCTCATAACTACTCTAAAAAGTAAGTATCATTGTTTCTCTTTCATAAGTAAGAATACGGAATGCAAGACATTGTATTAGGAAATGGCTCTTGGCCTCCTAAGGGGTGTGTGTGTGTGTGTGTGTATACGTGCTCTGTGAGAGAAGCTAGGAGGAAAGGAAGTGATGGGAGGTCTCACTGCATAGAGGAGGCTGGAGATTGGTCTGTGGAGATGGGAGGATCTGGAGAACACAGAATGGTGCATTCCAGGGGGGCAGAATGGCATGGGAAGAGGGAAAATGGGCTTTAATTTGATTGCGATGTGTATGTGTGATGTGGGTGAAGCGGGCAGGGATAGTGTAGTAAGCAATAAATCTGACAGAATAATCAGTTTGAGATTGGAAGAGTTTTTAAATTTTCAAACCATGTTTGAACTTTATCCTGTAGGAAAAGGAAAACTTTAGAAAGGCATGATGAAAGCAAGATTTCATGAAGATCAACCTGGTAATTGAGTAAAGAGTAGGTTAATAGCAGAGAAAGCATTTGAAAGCTATTATAAGAGTCAAGGAAAGAGGCCACGTGTATTTGAATCCAGGAAGTTGGACCTCAAGAGAAACAGTCAGCATTGGCGATAACAGCACCTGCTATTTTGTAGTGCCTTAGTGAATATAAGTACTTGAACTTATATGATCTGTGGCCTGTGGGATGGGCAGAGATCACTGACCCTATTTTATTGATAGACACACTGAAGATCAGAATGGTCCAGGCTCACCTCCAAATAAGCAAATTATGGAGCTGAGACTTGAATACAAGTCTGTTGTTTCACTACATCATGTTGCCTGTACCCAAAGGTAATGATTGAGAGGCATATAAATTTCTCCCAGTCTCATTTAAATGTAAAACATCACACAGTACAGATGGTCTGGTTTCCATGAACTTCAACCTCTCCCACACCTCTAGGTATTTAATTCCCTAAGAGGAGGCCATGTGATATTGTATCCGTGTTTACTGGAATCCAGTGCCCTGGCAAAATACCAGCTCTTTTTATTTGTATAGTTCTCTTGCTTGACCCTTCCAAAGAGAAAAAGGTCTATAAAGCTCAAGGCACCAACTTCCAACTATTTCCAACTCTACATTTTAAATGGCCATTTAAGTCATGCACTCTGTTTCTTGTAAATGTGAATAAGAAAGCATGTAAAGATGACGATAGATAGGCAAAGAGTACAAGATATTGACTATCAGAAAGTCAATCCCAATGGTTCATGTTAGTTTTCTAAAATGACTCAAGACACTTCAGAAAATTAGAAAGATTTCAAAATAAGAGTAGATTATATGCTACTCAAGGAGTATTTTTCCTCTAGAATCTGTCCATGCTTAGGAGGTATGCAAATGTTAACTGAATGAATTACCATCATCCATGAACTTCAATGATTATCACGTGTGCACCTAGATGTACCATAACTGTGCAGTGGAAAGAGCACTGGGTGCAGAAATATTGTTTGTGGTCTTAGCTACACCCCTTCTTAGCAGATTGATCTTGGATAAGTCATCTCACTATTTAATTGGCCTCAATGTCATCATCTGTTAAATGAGCAATTGAACTAACAGACGATCTGGTAGTTTCACGCCATTTCTCACATTCTAGGACTAAGTGTGTTTTCATGGCATCCACTCTAATTTTTCAAAGGTAATCTTTGCATAGCTGAGTTTAATACTGCTTTTTATGCTAGGGAGAGTAGGAAAAAAGGATTCATGGAGTCTTTCTCTCCCTCAGTACCTCCTAGGGGAGCAATGAAGATGAAGATGAGTTTTAGAAAGGTCATTGGCTGATAAATCTTTTTTGCAGTAGTTTGCAAAGCTACATGGTAATATACCTCTGGGTTAGTTATCAGATACGTCAGATTCAAAAGACTCAACTTGTAATAAAGTATTTCTGTTCCTTTTTGTGGTAAGTAGATCTTTCACCCCTTAAACATGACCTTAAATATGGCTCATTTTCTCTATTATCCATCAACTAGATTAACCTTGTGAAATATGTGGCAAAAGCTTTTTTCTTTTAAAGGACATGCATTCACATACACCAATAAATTCACACCAGGTAGAATGAGCACGAAATTGTTTCTAAAATGGGGATCCTCTTTGAAAAGGGAGGTGCATTAAATTCCTGGAGAGTGGGAACTACCTATCACGCTGTCTTGCAGCATCTCGTATTTAAATCAGCATTGAACAAATGATGTTGGAGAGGCAAACTTTATAAATGTTATTGGTTATCGCTTGAGAGAAAGTTCCATTAAACATCAGATTCCAGCAGGAACAAACGTCACTTTCCTACCACTGTGTGTTTATTGCATACTACCATCATTTTGCCAAGGCAACTCTGTCCAGCACTAATGGGAGCAAAACTTGTGTGGATTTTTGTTCTTATCTACCCTGTTCTACTCTTTACTGGGCTAGGATTGACTTGGCCCATCCCCAAGGATATTCTTTTATTCCTTTTCCATTTGTTAAGGGTACTTAGAAACTTCAGTATTTCTCACATTTTCTTCCAGCTCTGTTCTGTTTATTGGATTCTCTAAAATTAAAGGCTCAACATTTCTTTGAGCTAGCTCTACTTTTCCTATCAATTATAGCATTCCCCTAATCACCTTTATATTGGTTACCAAAGATAACATTTGTAACAGAAACAAAACAAAGAGGCAGAGAGAAGTTGCAAATAAAAGTTCTGATCTCCTGCTTAACTGCATGCAGTACACTGGCCTTGTTCTCTGTTGTTCACATCTACCTCTTGATCTATCTACATCTATACACCAAATATTTCCTTTAAACATTTCTGCAAAGTTAGTTCTGAGTAAAAATACACACGTGCCTGTATTCCAGCACTCGCTTATCCAATATACAAATCCAACTAGTGCGTAAAAAAAGACAAGAATGGGACCCCGTACATCCACAAAATAAATAACTGGGAGTGGATTTGCATCTAGAGAAAGATTCCCCCCCACCCCGCCCCCACCTGCTCTGAGGAAGCGCCTTTTAAGGTGTGTGCCCTTCCCAAACCATCTGGATGATGATGCGAGAGGGAAGATTTTGCATTGCAAAGACAGCTTTTTAAAGAATGCTGTGCAGGTAGTTAATCGCCAAGAGCGTGCTTATCCTGGGGGATGCAAAGGAGGAGAAAGGCGGCAGCACCGGCTGCCTGCTGGGGGCTGACCTGATTCCCTAGAATCCTCAGCTCGCTTCCTCCTTCTTCCGACGTCCTTCCTTCCCTTTTCTCCTCTTTCCTCCCTCTTCCCCTCCCCAGAGAAGCAGCTCCGAGAAACAAAGAACGCGGGCTCTCCTGGCATCAGCGCTTAAGCCCAGCACACTGCCAGCGGCATCTCGTTCCGGGGACCAGGGCTCTCCCGCTCCACATCCCCTCCCCAATCTCCCCCGCCTCCCGCGCTCGCTCGCTCGCTCGCTCCCTCCCCTCTCGCTTCCTCCCCCACCTTCGCGGCGCTGGGAGGAAGGCGGCCCGGGCTCAAGATGGCTTTAGCCGGGCTCTGCACCCTGCTCGCCTGCTGCTGGGGGCCGGCGGCGGTGCTGGCCACGGCCGCCGGCGATGTGGATTCATCCAAGGAGCTGGAGTGCAAGCTCAAAAGCATCACGGTGTCGGCGCTGCCCTTCCTGCGCGAGAACGACCTGAGCATCATGCACAGCCCCTCGGCCTCTGAGCCCAAGCTCCTCTTCTCGGTGCGCAACGACTTCCCGGGAGAAATGGTCGTGGTGGACGACCTGGAGAACACGGAGCTGCCCTACTTCGTGCTGGGTGAGTCCCAGGGGAGGTCGAGGCGGCCGGAGGCGCTGGCCTGGCGCCCCCACCCCCCACTCCGGCTCGCAGTGCACACCTACTCGCCGGCGACCTCCCCTCCCCCACCGCTGCCTCCCTGGATCCGCCCCGCTCGCAGACCGTTCTCCACACCCACTTGCAGGCTGGTGCCTCATTGCGCTTGACTTCTCCCGAAATCCCACCTGGATGCTGGGCCCTCGACCTCCCCTCAGCCGCCCTGCCCCAAAGGAACAGGTTGCAGGCGTCTCTCTGAAACCTTTCCCAGACTTGACCTCCCAGATTTCATTTGGGAGCACTCTGGCAGAGCACTTCTTGTCTGGTACCAGCTCAACTCCCATAAGCCCTTCTCCCCACTCCCTGGCCACATGCTCCGTTCTTTGCTTCACATCCACTGGACACCCATCACCCAGAGCATTTCCTGGGGGAGTTAGAAACAGGTGTCCCCTGTCACCTTGCCAGGCATGTGCAGGCCAGATCGCTCTTGCTGAATCTCTAGTCTTCGCTCAGTGAGATCTCTTTATCTGTCACCAGGTTACTGACACTCTCTCTGGCCTTCCTTCAGAACACTCAAGTTTCCTATACCCCTGGTGTCCATCCTGGCAAGTCCTCCCTCCATGCCCACGTGTCACAATCTTCTCATTCAGCCATCTCCACATCTCCGTGTCATATCACAATTCCTTGGATAAAGAAATCATCCAACTGTAGCCTGTTAGTGGTGGTGTCTTCTTTGTTCCCAAGGCTGCCTTAGGTCGGCATAGACATTCCTGCACACAGGCTGACTTCCCTGGGCAAGAGGCTCTTCCTTCCTCCCTTTGCTTGCTTGTTTACATCTTTCTCTCTCTGTCTCAATACCCCTATTTTGATTTCCTTAGGTCACAAAACTCCTTCAGATAACGGGAAGTCTACATCACTTCTAATCCACCCCTCTTTTTCTCTGCCAAAGATATTGTGGTCCTGCTCCAGCATCTTGCAAAGCCCCACAGGTTCATGTGACTTCGTTAACCAGAATTGCCCCCACTTCTCCATGTGCAGCTGTGTCTCTCACCCTGCTGTGCATGCCCACCGTACGATCCATTTCTATAGTGGTGCTGTCAATCATTCTTATTTTCCCCAGGATAGAATTCAAAGATAACCACAAGTAAGTCTCTGGAGCCAAGAAAAAAAATGAAAATGCCCAGGAGGCTGTTCCATCTACTGAACGCCCTCCCAGCTAGAGCCTACTGTGCAGGAACATGGCTTCCTGACAACCATGGGTAGGCTAGAGCCCCAAGTGGAATACCACCTAACGTCTCCCTCTTGCTCTTTCTTTACAAGAGATATCGTCACACTGAAAACCTTATGAAGTGGGTGAGTAAAGCCCCACTCTCCAACCCCTGTACAAAAGCAATTTCACAAATTGCTTGGTCCTTTGAAAAATTGGTTTATAGTTCCTGGAGTGCAGCTTAGTCAACCCCATTAAGCCCAACCTACACTCTTGATGGGTTTATTTATTTTTGCATTAAAAAACACCAATAACATAATAAAAACTGGGGGTTGGCTGGGAATGGGGACATTGTGGGTATGCTGCTCATTAAAATGTACAATTGCTGAGTTATTCAGTGGATGTAAATTTCATGTTGAAGTCATGCTGATGTGCAAGTACAATCTGTTCATCATAGTACATAAGAATAAGAATAGGGAATTACTTCCCAATTCCTAGCCCAAAGAGCCTGTTTTGGGCCCTACATGCAGTGTTTACTGTGCATGAAGAGGGATATATGTGGTACATGAAAAAAGGAAGATTGGATGAGCAGGCATTCAAAATTCCACTCCCTTTTTTGCAGAATCCCAAAGCCAAGGCCTAAAGCCATGATGTGCCTACTAGGATCCAATGTACACAGCAAAAGCCCAGATGTTAAAGAATGGGTTTTCTGCACCTCTGTGCAAAGCTGCCCACTGCAGCACCCTGCTGGAGTTGCTATGGTAACCTCCTGCAACTCGTCATTTACACACAGGAACAGACTCTCACTTCAAGGCCAGATGCATTTGTTAAATGCATTGATTGTCCCCTGCAGTCCCAGCCCGTAGGATATGGTCAGAACCAGAGATGTGCTGGTACCTATCCATTCTGGCCTGGTATTCCCAGGGGGAGGAGGAGTGAATCTCAGCTTGAGTGGTGGAGCAGAGCTGGGCAGAAAGGGAGGGTAGTCCAGGTTCATGGAGGGTAGACTGAAGTGTAGGTGTTTTTGAAGTTAACTTTTGTGGCCCTGGATCCTGTCTCTCATGGCCAATAGTAAGGGCTGTAGTGACTTTGGTTTAGAGCTTTCCCTACTTTTATCTCTGAAGCCAAGTTTGCTTAATCCATCCCCTGGAGGAATCTGAATCACTCAGTCCTGGGACTTTATTGAGCATTCATGTGCCTGGCACTCTTAGGCACTATTAGGATACAGACGTTAAAGGAAAGAAAAGGCTGCTGCCCTCAGGTGCTCTCTAGTCCATGGAAACGCAGACTGAGATACCTGTCAGAGCTATATGTAGTAACACCTGATTGTAGGGGGTGGATGTTAAGGGGTATAGGGGTGCTGAGGAAGGAGATGCTTGCCTGGTAAGGGCAGACTCCATGGAAGACATGGGCTTGTATAGGGCCTTGACCAAAATCAGATCCTTTGGCTTCCTTTTGTCTCCAAGGCCAAGTCCTATCACTTCAAGCAGGCAAACAAGGATCTTCTCTCTGACTGCAGCCAACTTCTCCAGCCTCTTCTCCCTGCAACCTGCCGTGGCCGTTCAGGACTCTTTCAAGACTTTGCACATGCTGTTCTCTCTTCCTAGAATGCTCTTCCCCCTTCTCCACTTGGCAGTCATCCCTTCTTTATAACCCCTGCACACGTTACCGCTCTATGAAGCCTTCCCTACCCTTCCAAGGCAGTCTTAGTCCATCCCACTTCTGTGCTCTTTGTGTGGATTAAAAAAACAAAAGGCAAATGAACAAAATTAAAGATAGATTAGATTTGGCTTCGCCTAGGAAACGGTGAAGCCATTTGAGGTCATGGAAATAAGGATGAGCAAAGGATGGTGGTGGGAGTGAATGTGGGAACGACGCATGTGTATGGCACCATACAGAGGTCAGCCTTGTGGTAGGAGAGTAGTGAGGATGGCACCTGGGCCCATAGAATGGGGCATGGCTATCCACTTAAAAGTCAGGCAGGAGAGGGCTGCCAACGTAGAGCACAGTGAGGCCTGACCCCAAGAGGCTGGCTTAGCCATCAATGGGGTCGATTCTGCTTGTGGGATAATCCCAAGAGGCACTGGGGGAGACAGCATCTCCTGTTCTCTGAGGTCAGGATTACAAATTGTGGTGCGAGGGCTATATGCGACTTTCTGTTGTGTTTTTGTTTGGCTACACATAGTTTTAAAATGTTTTGAATTTGATTGTTTTTAGTCAAGGCATGCCGTCTCTAGATGGCCATACTTGCTGCCAGTACTGATGGTACTATGGCTGACCCTCTTCATGCTGCTTCTCTGGCAACTCTAAGCCTGGTAATCTAAGCCCTTGCTTTCAGAAGTGTTGTAAAACTCTCTACAGTATCGCAAGATAACTGTAATTTCTACTAAGGTATTTAGACACATAGGCCTAATTACCCTCTCAGGAGAATATAAAAGGTTTGCCAAATTAGTCAATTAAAATTTCATATCTCAACTAAAATTTCAATTTTCAAAACAGTAGACATTCCTGCTTTGGGGGCGTTTTTGGTTTTGAGACAACTGGTTCACCTTAAGTGTGGCTTCCACACCGAAGTGTGGTTTTCTGGGCTGTGAAGAGAACGTGTTGATCAGTCTCATTACTGTTTGAAGGGGGTGCGCCTCTGTTTCAGACCCAACTGCTGAGCTTGTGTCTGCGGAAAACTTAGTGAAGAAAGCTGTTTCTCTTGGGCCTGGGAGTTTAGCTTTAGCTGTCGTGGCTTTTGATTGAAGGAAGTGCTCCTGAAGATAAATCCCTCAGCCTCCGGAGATGTAATGAGCTCCCACAGGCAAGGTGCTGGTTAAAGTGTTTGGAGCAGTCCAGTGTGCTGGCTAAAAGGACAGGCTTTGAAGACAGATCTGGTGTCAACTCCTGGCTTTCCACTTCTTTCAACGGTGGAGAAAAGTCAGGATTGGAGAGGTTAAATAACTTACCTTCACATGCCTAATAATTGATGGACCCATCACTCAAACTCAAGTCAATAAACCTTTCTCTTAGTTACTATTTTATATGCCTTAAAATTTTTCAAAATCTGTTCTTTTTCACAATTGGATAAAAGGAGCCCTGGCAATGTTTAGAATAGGGAAAGCTCACTCATCTAGTTTGCGTGGATGAGTCCTTTATGGTTTCAATGTAAATGCCTTTTGAATATTCTTGCCCATTGAGTGGTTTCTCACAAAGCCTTAATTCAGAAGAGGGTGAACTTCATCAAGAAATATTTACCTAAGTAGGCCTACTTACCTAAGCAGAATTGGGGAATTCTTATTTCATTCATAGTTTCCAGGTTTGGGTACCATGTTCCATGGTGTGTCATGGCACCCACAGTCAAGATGAATAAGATAGGATCATGGAGTTGAAGATCACATGTCCAGTGCTCTTCTAAGAAGGGCCCCAAGAAATGCAAACTGAGAATCCCAGAGAGAATGCTCCACTGTCAAATGGAGCCATCCAGAAGGTGCTGTGGTCTCAGCTCCTTGTCCTAGGCCACTGACCTTTGTATTAGGTGGCCTTGTACTTAGAATCCATGCTTAGAACCCAGTGGAGCTGCTTGAGTAGCAGTTCCTGAGCTTTTTGATTGGCACCAAGGGTTATATTGGATATAATTTTCTACATACCGGTGAGCGTTTGCCTAATAGGAAGCATCCCTAACTTTTTTCACACATCTTTCCGTCTCCCCCTTTGAGAAGAAATTTTAAAATTTGTTTCTTTTCCTTCCTTTTGCTCTGTGCTACAGTGAGCTGCCTAGGCTAACAGTGAATAA